AGTTAAACTTATAGTATCTTCACTTTTTACAGTTTAGTTAATCATTTCCTCCTTTTAAACGCACAACCTATAACAAATAAAATCATATCAATTACTAATTCCGATTCCCAAGTACATGGAATACATAGCCTTGTTTGGTGACTGTTTTAATTTTATGTTCTTTTTTTTTTAATTGCGGGTGGTGTGCAAGCTAAGCAAAATATTAAATTGTGTTTGGCAATTTTTATTGTGATTTAATTATTGAAAAAAAGTCCAATTCAAAGATAAAAATTTGATGTCCTTTTTTAACTAGCCATTGTAGTTTCTAATCTTACAATATTTTTTTTTATCAAATATGTTTTTGTTTTGTTGCTTCTGAAATTGGTGTGAAAAAAATTACATCACTAAATATGTTTCCAATTACTATTTGAAAATACTTCACAATAAAAATGTTATTTTCATTTCAGATGAAAATATTAACACAAAATGAAAACGATCATACTCTACAAATATTCTCCAGCTCTATTCTTTTTCAATATAGAAAAAATTGAGTGTAAGTTTTTTATTTTTCATGCTACTATGAAACACAAACCATAAAGAGTTTCTCATACCAGTGCACATCAAAATATCAAATTCAGCTTCTCAACCAGAAGATTCTACAACCATCACTAACAATTTAACAAATAAACATCGGTATTGACGACGACGTTCTGACGTGCATTTACTACACTGACCCTGCCACCAATGCCTACTCTGACCCACAACCATTCACGAACCTCTCATGACATATCAACATGGGCACATTATTTTTTATATGTATTTTTTATTATCATTATTTAATGTAGGAGTAACCAAAAAAAAAAAAAAAATACAGTAATAAAAAGGTAAAGCTTGACTGGACCGACCAGTAACCGGTCAAGCTCTGAAATTCAAAGAGAACATAGTTAAACCCCGAGAGAGTAATATTTTTTTTTTTTTCGGAAAGTGAGAGAGTAATATTTACTTATAAACAAAGCATTTGGGTGATTTTATGTCCCCTAATTAAAATGCCAAATTAAATTTAATATTTGTAATTGGGAGTTCCCAATGAACGGAAACCGTCAGGCTTGACTAACGGCGTTAAGGAGGAGGAGAAGCACGTGACTGTGAAAAGGGCAAAAAGTGTGAGGTAGCGTGTGAACAATAGTGTGTTACAGTAGTTTATTAGTGTCAAATCAAACCAATCCGTGATGATTTTTTTGGGAAGGTACTACTTACAACTAACAAGTACTGATCTCTAAATTTAAATTCCAAGGCCAATCCACTTCCTCCAAGGGCGGGGAGTGTGACGGTGAGAGTCCCACCTACCCTTTACTCTCCAATGGGTTGTTTATGATCTCAACGTCCATATTTTTTGGGATCCATGGAAAAGATTTATGGTGGATCCCGTTAATCGTATGAATGAATATTGCTATATATATATTTGTACAATTATTAATATTATTATTATTTTGTCTGTGCATTAATGGTGAATCTCATTAATTGTGTGGCACAACAGTCTATCGCCAGACAACTCGGAGATCGACGATTCAGTTTTCTATTGCCCTCTTACTCTTCTTCTCTTTTTTTTGTACAGTTTTTTTCTCTTTAATTTAATGGAAGAATTTTCAATTTTGAATATATGTTTGTTAAGAATTAATTTGGATATCTGTAAATTGTTGGTTATAGTTGATGCAATGGCTCGTGGCAGAAGCTTTTTGGGATCTAGGATTCGGGTGTTCTTCAATTTTATTTGTTGATGCTTCAAATTAAAAAATAGGCGGGCACAAATACAATCATCTCTCAATAGGATGTGAATGGATCGTGAAAAATCAACGCGTCCCGAATATAATATTGTCAATAACTAAATGAGGTTGGCAAATTTGTGCGATCCCTACCCATTGCAATTCCTAACTAAATTAACGTTTTATTTTTATTTGTCAAAATTTAAATGAATTATTTAATAAATATATTAATTATTAATTAAAATGAAAAATTCACTATGTAGGAACTCTCTTAAGAAGGATGCAGTGTTTTCAACTAACCTGTTACTTTTAATGAGCATATTTGTCATGTCAATTTTTATTCCTTTAATAAATTGGATAAACTCAGCTTCTGAGTCAAATTCGCATAAGAATCATTTTTTTTTTTATAATTAAATGAGATATTGCGAATTGAGTAATACTTAAATCTTCAGATATAAATCAATAATAAATATACAATTTGTCCGAATTGAATTAATACCCAATTATGATTTCCTACGGTTTTGGATGCAAAAGGTTAAATAAATTAATTAAGCTGATATGACAGAACTTCCATTGCATGTAATAATTAGCCCATTTTGATTGGCCCACTATACGGACAACATCATGATTTCCCAGCCGTTTTAAGAATTCCACGATTAATAAATACTCTTTTTTCTTGTATATACTACGTAATTAATTAAAAGGTCGCAATTAATAACATCACAAAATAGAGAGTATGAGTGGGCTTACCCATGTTTCTCGAATTATCCAATCAGTGTTATTGTCCCAATCAATTCAAAATTCAATCTAATTAATTTCTTCATTTTTTATACACACGCATTCTATGGTCCATGCCAGACCAGCTTTATCAAAATAAGCCATATTAACCACAGAAGAAGAATTCAAATCTCATATATATATATATATATATATATATATATATACTCTGTAGAGAGAGAGAATCCATTTTGCTGAGAATACAATTTCTCTTGGTAAGTAAAATTACAATTAACAGTGTGTCTTGAATACAATTTCTCTTGGTAAGTAAAATTACAATTAACAGTGTGTCTTGAATATATATATATATGAGGTTGGTAAATCTATCTTGTTGCTAATAATCATACCAAATTAGAAAAGTTAACCAGGTTTTGGTGGGATTATGCTAAACAGCTAAATCCTCACAATTCTCAAATTGCATGAAAAGTATAATGATTAATGCCACCTGATATGTTAGTGTGATTTCCACTTTTGACGGTAGTGAAATTCTCTTTCCGTCATAAACTGGATTAAGAATCATCATACCTATTTTCCATTTCCAACTCTTGGGATTTAATTCGTTGTTCCATTTTTTGTCCTGAAATCAAAGAGCTTTTGTCAACCTATCAATACGATCTTGCTTTATCAACACAGTTATTATTAAGGCCACTTTTATAATTTTTGGTTGACTTTGTCATTCAACTTTTTGTTGCCAGTAAACTTGCTACATTTACCAAATTTTACTAGATTGTGGTTACTGATTAAACCACTATCTCTCTGTGTCTGTGTGTATGTTAAATCAAACAGTAGCTGTGATGTTGGTGAATTTATATTTTTACTTGAACATTTAATAATATTACTAACATTTTTGGCTGGATTTTGCTTATTAACCACTAAATCATGTGTTGTGGGTAATGATAATCGCACTTTTTAATAAATGCACTCTATTTTAAAATAGAGTTACATTTTATCTCTAAATTTAAGATTAAAGATAATCCAACATTAATGAGATTATAAATACTTTTGTTATTTTCTTGAAAAAATAAAAAGGTACAGTGTGAGATGCATAACATCTGTAATGGATTGGATACATCACCGTCCAATAAAAAAAATTTAAATTATTAGATGGTGTTAACACCTAATCTATATATACCTAATTACTATCCTATTTGAATTCAAATCCTCAATGTAAAATTTTCACCCATTCGAACTCACAACGTTCTGGTTGTCGTTGGCCCACCTTACCTACTCAGGATGCTGGTCGGGACCCCTTCAAGCCAGGCGCTTGGTATGACATCGGATTATGAATTGGATTTGTCTCTGATACTTATGGTAACGAGCTAAGCACTTCGCACTCCGACCTAAAAATTTAAGTTATTAGCTGATACTAGCACCCAACCAATACACCCAATTACTTCTCCATTCGGATCTGACGTGGAATAAGGTCTCTTGTAAAAGCATCTCATTAAATATTAATACATCAGGTTACATAATTTGAAATATATCACTTAGGTTATTTTGGTAATTTTATTCTATTTTCAATTAATCCATAAAAAAAAAGTACAATAGTACTTCTTGTCAATAAATAATCACTCTTCACTATTTTTTTAAGGAAAAAATGTAAAAAAACTCCTGAACTATGTTGGAATTTCCAAATAACTCCCTTAAAACATATTTTGTTCATAAAACTCCCTGAACTTTCACATTTAGTTGCAAAATGCCTTGCTTATATTTAATTAAATGACCATAATGCTATTTCTTATTGAATTAAACTTAATCTATTTTTCTTATTGAAATAAATTATGAAAAAAAATTCATACTAATTTGATGACATATTCTCCATTAAACTTGCATAAATTTATTTTTATTTTTTTTAAAAAAATATTAAGTAGAAAATGTTAGAACGATTTAAGTAATTTTTTAATTGTTCACGAATATATTGCATAAAAAAGAAGTTATTTTTTATTTAAATAATTTATTAATTTTCCATGTTTTAAGTGAGTATAACAAGTTTTATTATAAATAGTATGATTTTAATAATAAGTTAATCATTTTATAAAATGTTAGTTACAAATATATTTTTTATTTATTAATTTTTATTCTAAATTGATACTAATAATAAAATTAAGATAAATAGCATAATTAATATTTAGATAAGAGAAAAATAATAAAAAATAATTTAATAAGAAATAAAAAATGTAATAATTTTTTTTTAATAATTAGTCAAATTTGGTGGGGGAATAGCGCTGCCCCGGACCCACTATTTTCTACTTCAAGGCCATTAGACCACTTATAGAATCAAAATTGACGCTGAAATGAAAGTTTTTAACCTATAACAGGATCGATAATCATGGACGGTTCATGAGTCTGTCAGCAAAAAAGATTCCAATCAACGGCTCGGATTAGAACTATCAGAAATCAACCAGAGAGTATTTAAAACCATCCCCAGATGGTATGTCACGTGCGCCAGAGAAAAATTGAGGAAAGTGGTAAAGTTGGCGAAGCTTAAGGCGAAAGAGTGTAGGGTGGGGTGCCCTTAATAACAGAGCTTGCAAGCATTGGGTCTGTCTGTCTAGGAGATCTCTCTCCCTCCCTCCTCCTGCAGGGTCGGTGTCCTCAACGTGCAAATGGTATAGGGCAAGTGCCCAAACGTTGACTTATTGCTCCCGGTAAAGTCACCTCCACTTGTCGGTCACTTTCTTTTAAGTTATCATCTCAATCCCCTCGTAAAAACCCTCTTGTCTATAATTATTAATATAGATTACACGGGAAGAGGAGATTTACATAGTTTTGGCAGTCTGATGTGAGAGAGAGGAGAGGACTCTGCTTTTGCAGTGATCTTTTTGGGTCTATCCAAAGAGAGAGAAAAAAACAAAGCAATTGAATAAGGAAGATATATATATATATATATATATGTATATAAAGCTTGTTTGTCTTGCAATCAATCAATTCTATGCTTCACTGTAAGCTATTAGTATCCATCTTTGTTTCTATATTACCGAATCAAATTGCATAAAATCTCCATTAAATTTCTACATACATAGATTGTGAGGATGGTTACTGGTTGGCGAAGGGCGTTTTGTACGTCGATCCATCGAGATCGAGACTCGGTGGTGAACAAAGACAAGCAAGAACACAGCAACAACAATTCCAATCCCAGTCCCACTCCAAGTCCCAGATTCGGTAACAAATTCAGCTTCTTCTCCAATCCATCCACGCCTCGTTTGCAGACTCAGCCTGTGTCAAGCCCTAGCCTGCGGTGTCGAACCACCGCCACGGCGACTATTCCGACTCAATCTGTGCCGGAAAGTCCCAAGCTCCAATGCAAGACTAAAAATAGCCCTAGCTTGTTCCACCGCTCCAATCCTTCGTCCCCTCGCTCTCCCTCAACTTTCTCTTTCCTCAAATCCACTCTGCGTCTTTCCAAGGTAAGAATTTCAAAATCCGTACGGCTGCGCTCGGATGCTATATATATGTTCTGTTTTATATCCATGGCTTTTTCATCATTTCCACAGTAGAATTTCGTTACTGATCATAAAGACTGCAAAATTGGATGAATGGTTTTTTTGGACTTTCTGTGACTTTCTTTTGTTTGTTTTGTTCAGCAAAGTAGATGTGGAATATGTTTACAGAACGTGAAGACTGGACAAGGAACCGCCATTTTCACAGCGGAGTGCTCTCACAGCTTTCACTTTCCTTGCATTTCCTCACACATCAAGAAGCAAGGCAGCCTTGTCTGCCCTGTTTGCAGCACTAACTGGAAGGAAGAGCCTCTTTTGGCCATTCAGACACCAACAAAAAATGAGGATAAGAAGAGAGAACTAGCAGGGAGTATTGATGTTAAAACGAAGAACGAAAAAAAGCAATATGCAAGGTCTGTTTTTAAGGTTTACAACGACGATGAGCCGTTGATGTCGCCGACTTCCGGAGTTCTGTTCAATCCTATACCGGAGTCTGACGAGAACGACGATGACGAGTTTCAAGGCTTTATTGTGAATGCCAGTGCTAGTCCTGTAATTGAGCCGACGATGAATTACAGGGATGTGGAAGTTAAATTGTTGCCGGAGGCTGCTGTGGTATCTGTACGGCGGAGTCACGAGACATACGCCATAGTTTTGAAGGTCAGAGCGCCGCCGGCGCCAGAGAAGATGGCGCGTCGAGCACCGGTCGATTTGGTGACAGTATTAGATGTGAGCGGAAGCGTGACGGTAGAGAAATTGCAGATGATGAAACGCGCGATGCGATTGATCGTGTCGTCTCTTTCGTCCGCCGATCGTCTCTCCATTGTGGCTTTTTCGGCGAACTCCAAGAGGTTGTTGCCGCTGAAAAGAATGACGGTGAACGGCCGGTTATCGGCGCGTCGCATCGTCGACGCACTTGTGACCGGCCAAGGCTCATCGAGTTTCACCGACGCGCTGAAAAAAGCCGCGAAGGTGTTAGAAGATCGCCGGGAAAGAAATCCCGTTGCAAGCATAATGCTCCTATCTGACGTTCACGACGGGCCAGTGGAAAGGCGTCAATCCTCCGTCGTCTGTTCCACGCGCTACTCGCACCTCGAGATCCCTGTACACGCCTTTGGATTCAGCCAAGGTGGCGCGTACGGCGACGCTCCCACCGGCGACGCCTTCGCCAAATGTATCGTCGGTTTGCTGAGCGCCGTGGTGCAGGATTTCCGTCTCCAGCTCGGTTTCGTCTCCGGTTCAGCCCCGGCGGAGATCGCAGCGGTCTATTCACACACCGGTCGGCCCGGCGCTCTCGGATCTGGTTGGATCCGGCTCGGTGAGTTATATGCCGAAGAAGATAGAGAACTTCTGGTTGAACTGAAAGTTCCATCATCGGCTATTGGGGCCCACCACGTACTGTCCGTTCGATGTTGTTACAGAGACCCGTCAACGCAAAAACTTATCTGTACCAAAGACCAAGCTCTATTAGTACCACGGCCCCACGCCGTACGATCATCATCTCCCAACATCGAACGGCTAAGAAACCTCTTTGTCACTACTCGCGCCGTAGCTGAATCTCGGCGGCTGATGGAAAGAAACGACTTCACCGGTGCACAAACCATGCTCTCGTCGGCTCGAGCGCTACTGATGCAGGCGAGTTCAGCTTCGGCTAGTGATTTTATACGATCTGTAGAAGCGGAGTTGTCGGAGGTTCATCGACGGCAACAGATCCAACGGCGGAGAACGACGGAGCGAGGGGAGGCTACATTCGTGGATGAGAAGGGCGAGGCGCTTACGCCGACGTCGGCTTGGAGAGCCGCAGAGAGACTGGCTAAATTGGCCATTATGAGGAAGTCGTTGAATAGAGTCAGCGACTTACACGGCTTTGAAAACGCCAGATTCTGAATTTTCAAATATACAAAAAAAATAGATAATATTTATTATATATATATATAAGAAAAACGAAAAGAAACAAAAGAGATTGGGGCCCAAAGTGTATAATAGCGATAAGAAGTACCCGACGGTTCGGCCCTTTCTGCAGAGAGAAACAACAGTGAGTGAGAGGGAGAGACCCACCAAGTGTTTGATAATTTGATTGGATAGTGAAGGGTCTCCATTGCTTTGTCTTGACTCTTGACTCCCCATTTTTATCTTATTATATATATATAGACTATAGATATAATGGTAGGGAATGAAGGCGGAGGGAATAAAAGATTAAAGGGAGAGAGATTTGTTGCATCTGTGGGTTAATTATTAGTGTTCTGGATTGTCTTTCTCTTTGTTTTGTTGGTTGAGTCTGATGTTTTATTAGTTAGAAAGAATGTATAAACGCATTGTAGCAAATGAAAACGAATGTTTTTGTGTGTTATGCGATGGTGTTTTATATAAAAGCTCTTATTATTTGGTTTGATTCCTTTTAGTCAAAGTCGGTGCGGCCGATTGCGCAAGACAATATAATGCCAAATAAATATGGATTGGGAATGAATTATGAGATCATTAGGACAACCCTATCAATCTGCTTGGGATTGAGAGAAGGGTAGGTCTAGACTCTAGAGTGAGTTTTATTATTATTTTCTTTTTTTAAAACAAAATTTAAGTAAATTATGTGGTCTGATCTTTTAAAAATCTGTCTAAAATCATCATATTGGTTTATTAATTCTTTAATCTAGTGGTGATTTAGAATATTGATGTTCAAGCTGTAGGGTTTATTGAGTATAACACAACAAATGATAGAAACAGAGCAGAAGCATCTATGATTGTTTTTTTTTTAAGCAGTAAGAATTGAACTACTAAATATATCTACCATTAGTTTTGCTTTTGCATCAATCCTTTTGTTGATGAAGTCATAGTTGAGAGGAGGATTATAATTTTATATAAATAAATATTCTTAGTTTAACTAGAGAGGGCACTTCCCCTTGTGTTAAGCTGTCAGGTTTTGACTCACCTCACCCCCTCTCCTACACTTCCTTCTAAATTCCAAAACAAAAAAAATACCTACGAAAATTTGACAGTTTATCCCTTAAATTAAAAAAATAAAAAACTCCCCTCACATTGATGTTAGTGCATTCCTTGTGAAGAAGATAGAAGGTGATATAACTAGTATTGGATTGGAAACCTAGGTGTTGTGGATATACGTAAACAAAGTGAGGAGCGCACTTGGCACGACATTGCGATTGGATTAATTGAAGCGACTCTTTAAAGGGGTAGGGTCCTATAACATGAACGTGGTCTCACTATCATAGTATCAGCGCTACATCTAAAGGACAAGACCTGCACAAAAACGACAGCCAATTTTGATTGAAATAATCATCACTAAACGCCAACTCCTTAGGTAAAGTAAAAAAGTTCATTAAAACAGTCATTTTTGCATTAATGGTCTCACACCCTCTCTTTTACCACTGGTAAACTTGGCTTTCATGTCGGTGCCACGTTGACTTTGCCGTTTTGTCTTCAAAAACAACTTTTGAGTTTCGAATCCAATCATTTTTACCAGGTGTTACATTTCATGCCCAGCCACAATTACATAAAGTTTGATTCATAATTGATTTTGCAAGTTAATATATATAAATATATATATACATAGACAGTCCACTTTTTAAAAAGGTGATCAAAATTGCCGATGTATATAAACAGTCCACTTTTTAAAGGTTCCTAAATCTTGAAATACCACTTAAATAGGATATAATCCCATCTTCCCGTTGAAGACCCACTTTTTTCTTTTTTTTGCAAACTATAGCCTCTATCTCAGATGAATTATTTCATATGATTGTCACATATTCTAAAGATTTAGGAAGTACCTTCGAATTTGCAATCAACTTCCTGAAGGAACTAAGGACCTCAAATGACTGAGTTCAAGTACATTACAACCCACATTTATAAATCTACCCAAAAATCAGAAGTTTAAACAGAAATAAAAAAAATGTCATATTTAGTATAATAGAGAATAAAAAAAATCATATATTCTGTCCTAAGCAAGATGGTAATCACTTGGTATGTTCTTCCTTCTATACTCCTATAAGAATACAGTTTCACGAGTTCATGTATGTACAGTATAATTTTCCAGGCTTGCATGACTTTAGCTACAAGTTTGTGAAAACCAAGGAAAATGCGATGAAGCTTTTTGCAAGTGCAAGTCTGGGAGTAAGCGATAGAAAAAAGGTAACATTAAACATTACCAAGAAAAAAGGTGACACAGAACCTTCCAGTATATAAATATATATTGAATTAGCTACCCAGGAGTTAACTCACTTTTGTAACGATGATGGTATTATCCTCAAATTGCGTACCTTCATAGCTTTAGAAAGGTAATAATGAAAGGATGGCCAACTTTTATCTATTGGAGTATTTTCTTCAGCATTAAATTCAAAAGACCTGTTCATATACTATTTTCTACAGGACATTACCATGAACCTTAAAAAAGGCACATAATTCCCTTCTGTTTATACTCCACCACCATTAATGACCATGCAATATGGTTACTACTGGCCACTGTGTGTCACTCAAAAGATATGGACCATGTGTGCTGATCCTCAGCTGTAACAGTCAAAAGGCCATGATCACTCGCACGTGTGGTCATGTGGCACCAACACGTGTGAGTGATCGTGACCATCCACTACAAAAGAACACGCATGTTGCACTGCATGAGATCCAGACTCATTGGTGGTCAAGTCTCTTATATGTCATTAACATTAGGGTCCACCCTCTCACCAATTAGGGTAAAGATCAAATGATGTAACACAGAGAGCTCTATGAAGTTACCTGTGACCAAAAAGAAACCCAACTTGGCTCATTGCAGGATCCCAAGTCACCTTCTAAGTAGTTTCGGGCAACCAGCTTGCATTCCTCGGACGAATGTGAAAAGAATATCTATTTACACCCAATAAATCATGCAGTACAACACAGACCAGTTTTGCCGCCGCCAGCAAAACCTGGTTACACACTTGATAACTTGTCTACCACACCATAATTCAGTTAATTTAATAGTACTTTGATACAACCAGTGTACAATTTTCGAACTCAGAAATACAACTGCTTACACTGTGCTACCTCGACCTCAGTTGGACAGTAGGGACACTTGAAAGGCCGCGTATTATTATTCTTTGACAGCTTCGTAATAGACTGCTTGCAGAGCACGTGTCCGCATGATAACAACATTGGTGGATTATCTTCACTTGCTTGATCCCGACTCACTGGACATACAAAGATGGAATGGAACTGAAACTCCCTGTCCAAATCCACAGGCACAGGTAACTGCTTCATAGACTGCCATTCTTGCTTCTTCCCTATCATCACATTCATTAGCTTCAAAAGGGTTGGCAACCCTTGGGCTCCAGCTGCAATCGTCACACCCAATGGGCTCTCGTAAGCCTGTCCCAGAAGATTGCATAGCTGCCTGGTTAGCTCCTCGGCCAATTTGTCCCAGTGGGTTGGGGATAGTAATTCAGAGTATGGGGAGCTTTCGAGTTTCCCAGCCCACAGAAGGCACGCCATGAGCTTCTGGATTTCAGCCATATGTATAGAAGCAAATGGAGCAAGGGAAGTTCTGGCATACTTGAGAGCTTCATCTCTTCCACTCTTCTGTAGGATTTCTACAAACTGCAAGCGGTGAAGTTTCAACTCCAGGTCTGATCCATTTTGTTGTAGTTTGTCACGGTTGGTGGCGGCCCAGTTCAATGCTGGCTCTAGGTTCCGGGACCTAATGGCTTCAAGTATCTGATACAATTCCAGGTATGGAAATTTCAGCTCAGCACCTTTGGTTTCCCTGGCCTCGTTTATGAAGCAATCACCGAGATCAAATAGGCCCTCCCGGTAGAGATGGCTGGCGATTATCTGGTTAACCATGTGGGTATCAAAGTCATTTCTGTAAGCTTTGGAAATGTCAGGATTGAAGGATTTCTCGAGGAGCTTTGTGAACTTGCTCAAAGCTATATTCAATTCTTTCTGTGCACCTTCAAGCTGACTGAGTGGAGCAATCTCCTTCAACTTACCTTTAAGCTCAGTGAGGATCAACTTATGATCAGATTGGGATGCAGTATCATGGACTGAATGAATTTTTGATAATGCCAGTTCAATTTCTTGGACAAGCTGATCAATTACTTCTTGAGATTTAGAATAGGACATCTTTTGCTTCTTTGCAACACGATCAAATGCATCTTTGATTGTATTCAGCTCCATCTTCCAATATCAAACACACTCCTTGGTTTTATTAACCGTATTCAAAAAATGAAAAGCACCTGCAAGAGATGAAAAAGGGAAACTGCTATAAATTTGAACGGATTACAACAAATTTGCATAATTCCATCAGATACAGAAACATTTTGACAATTATTACCAAAATGACACTTGAAAACATATTATGCATGTAAACAAGAACAAGGCAATTGCAACAGCCAGTTGCAGTTTATTTTTTACATAATACAGGAAAATGTACCAAGATAGGACTTCGAGATAATGTTGATGATTGGTCTCTTTACTGGTTTGGTGTCCTAGGCTGTGCAACAGTGTGTTGGGGGGGGAGGGAGGAGTAGAGGAACCACAAATGAAGACGACAAATTATAAATTCATCTGGTAGCAATTTGAAGGCTTCAGAGAGCACTCACAAACACAAATATCAATTTTCTCAAAATAGAACTCTGTAGCATTTAATTCTGACATCATAAATAACAAGATAACCACACTTAAGAATCCATTTGATTCATGGATTTAGTAAGAATAAGGGAAAAAAATTGTTTCTTATCTATTGTTACCATGGAAAACAAGGGGAAAACAGAAATACCAGAGGAAGTCAGATTTTTTTAATTTATTTACATGGCGTTTCCTTTTTCTTTTTCCTAATCCCAACCGTTTTTGACAAAATATTTATTTGATTTTTATAAGAATGAAAAGATGAGGAAAATTACTACCTTTACATCTTGTTTCCATTTTTTCCCTCACTAAATCCATGAACTAAGAAAGCCTACTGGTTACCAAGAATTCATTAGTGTGGTAAAAGAGGAATGATTGAAAGCCCAATCGGGATTCACCACATCTTATGCATAAAAATGAATCCTATTACTTTTAACTTTAAATGCAATTTCTTTATTGCATATCAAAAATATAAACCATAATTACCACAAACACTCACAAAAGTATTCTTTATTTATTTTTCATTAACCAACTAGTAGTATTCTTTATACTTATAAGATTTAAAAGTTGGAATAAGAGCTATACACAACAATCAATTGGGACTAGCCTATGCTGGTAACCCCTATATTGAACCACAATGGATGATGCAATGACGGTATTAAAAAATTCTGTAGAGTGACCAATAATGAAACATGGCACTCCAATTAACAACTTCTTGTACTGGGACAAGCAAGCTCTGAACTCAGAACCTACAGGTCTCTACATCATTCCTTTCTACAAAAATGCCCAATAACAATAAAAACAACATTATAACTGACATTTGATAAAAAGCCTGATTTATTTATTCATACTGAAACCCCAATAACAATCAGACGCAGTTGAGTTGCACATGCACAATTGAGATTTCCCAAGGAAGTAAACACACAATAGTAACTTGCAGAAAACAAATTTCCTCCACTAAATGGGTAAAATGCAATTATCTTTTTGTATTCTTAAAAGTTCTTGGGTGGTCATGTAGGGAACATAGGTAGCTAATTTGTCACTGCAGGTATAAGTGATTGTACTATCTATATTTAAAAAGAAAATGAAAAGGCGAAGTATGTAAAGACAACGACAATGGAGCAGATTGATCGAAATTGTTTTAAGTTGCTTTTCACTTTGGCCAGGAACAAGAGACGTGCTCACTTATGGAAATGACCAAACCTCCCTCTACTCTTGTTTTATTTATCTTAATTTTTTAAATTACTTTCATGCAACGGGTGACAAGGAATCTTGATCTTATTTTACTTTTTTTTTTTTGGTAAGTAATAATTAAATAAAAAGACGATCAAGAGGGGAACGCGTCCCATTTTGATTGCCTTTTTATTTAATTATTACTTATCAAAAAAAAAAAAAAAAAAAAAAAAAAAAATTTACTTGATCAATTGGAAATTCAAACTACTTGACTTCTAGATTAACTGCACTTGGATCCATCAAGCGAGAATCTAAATCTCACCATAACCAACAAAAATTGCTAATAAAGAAAGAGATTATGAAGGCGGCAAGGCCTACAATTGATAAAAGAGATATAACCTGGTTCATGGATGTATAAATAAGGATATCTCTGATTTATGGAGTGTAATTTTATTGCCCCTGGGTGCTCGTTCAAGGTGTGTGGGGAGCTAGGATCCGGTTGTGGATAGATTTGAGAGAAGGCCAGCGGTTTGGAAGAAGCAGTGTTTCTCTAAGGGGGGTCGGGTCATTCTGATTAAGAGCACCCTTTCTTGCCTCCCCACTTATTTCATCTCTCTCTTTCAGATTCCTTCCTCTGTGGCGGAGAGGATTGAGAGATTGCAATACAATTTTTTTTAAGAGGAGTTCAAGTTTCACTTGGTTCGTTGGGAGCAAGTGTGTTGTCCAATTCGGACTGGTGGTTTAGGAATTAGGAGGTCGTTGCCTTTCAATAAGGCTCTCCTTAGGAAATGGCTCTGGAGGTTTGGGGTGGAGAGGCGTTAACTCTGGAGGTGGGTTATTGGGCATAAATTTGGGGAAAGCAGTGGAGGTGGAGTTCTCTTATGGTGCGTGGTCCTAGGGGAGTGGGGGTTTGGACTGGCATTCGGAAGGGGTGGGATGATTTCTGCAAACATGTTCGTTTTCAAATCAGGGATGGTACGAGGATCAGATTTTAGGAGGATCTTTGGTGTGGGGAGCTTCCTCTTGCACTCGTTTTCCCACGGCTCTACAGGATTGCTTCTCATAGGCAAGCCTTGGTGGTTGACTATTATCATCTTGATAACGGGAGACTGACTTGGGATGTTCAGTTTATAAGACACTTCCAGGATTGGGAAATTGAGGAGGTCACCCGTTTTTTGGAGTTATTGTACCGTCAGACGATTACAGCTGGGGATTCTGATTGTTAACTTTGGATTCCTAACCTTCAGGGTCGCTTTGAGGTGAGGTCCTTTTTTAGGTGTCTTACGGTTGGCTCTTGAGGCTATTTCCCTTGGATGTCTATTTGGCGATCCAAGGCTCCCCCTAAGGTGGACTTCTTTGGTTGGACTTCTGTCTTGGGTAGGATTTTAACCCAAGATAATTTGAGGAGGAATCAAGTGGTGGTTAATCGATGTTATTTCTGCTTGCGAGACGAGGAGACTGTTAATCACCTTCTGCTTCATTGCAGCACGACTAGGGGCTGTTGGGATTTGATGATTGGGTTGTTTGGGATCCCGTAGGTTATGCCTAGATCCTCTAGAGGGTTGATTGAGGCTTGGAGAGGATTTTCAGTGGGGGCTTTCATTCAGGACGCTTGGAGGGCTATGCCTCTTTGTATTTGGTGGTGCATTTGGCTTGAAAGAAATCGGAGATATTTCGATGGAAAGGAAAAGCCTATCCCTATGCTTAAGTTCTCTATTATTTCCACCCTTTTTTGTTGGGTTTCAGGGGGAGATTTTAAATCTGTACAGGAGTTAGTTGTTTTTTTGGCCCCTTTGAAGGCTTGAGGCGCTTTTGGCCTTTTTTTGTCCTTGGGATTCGCTCCCCTTTTGAGCTTTGTTTTTTAAAATAAATTTTACTTATCAAAAAAAAAAATTGTGTTATTTTGTTATTTGAGAATTGTTACAAATTGAATTTGGAACCAACCACTTTGTTATTCATCAACCTTATATTCCATTTAGTTGTATTGTACTAGAATAATAAGCAAATTTTGCATCGAATACAAATATCTTTGTAAGAAGAATGGAATGGTAAGCTTCTTTACTGGTCAAATTGGAAAGTGAAATATTAGGTTACTTGTCTCAATTTAAGCATATCCAGAAATAAACCTAAATGCTTCCATCCCCAAAAGGAAAGAAAAAAAATAAAATTCAAGGACGTGGGATCTGATTATCGAGGTGGATCCAATCCATTTAACCATACTTGCATATATAAGTAATTACCAAGCATTTCTCCCGCCCCATTAATGCGCACTAATTCACTACACTCCTAGACTCAGCCTATATACCCATACTTGACAGCACCAAGTTTACCCATTACACCCCAAGTCACAAAATTCGCTCATGGGGTAGCCGCTTCTAAGCTCCACGCACAAATCGCGAGTTGGGAGTAGATTCACACCATATTCGCGAACTCAGAAATTTGAGTTTGCGACTTCAGTTTCCCAATCCGCGCACGGATTGCTTACAACAATGCAAATAATACTTATTTAGTAATAAAAAGACAAGTAGGAATGCATGTGAGAAGAATTGAACCTAGGAGCTGTTAGGAAGAGCCAAGGTTACCGATCACTAGGCTAGCTTTTACTTGAGTTATAAGTGATACAATTAAAAAAAACTACTACTTCATATAATTAATTAATAGAATCAATTATAAATAAATATCTTATTATTTTTAAATAGTTCTTATATTAGAAAAAAAAAAAATTCACCAAATTATTATTTTTTTTTTAATAAAATTAAAATGATAATGTATCAAGTGCAATGAAGTACATATATATAAATATTCGGACACTCTAAAGGCACTCCCGCTCTCAAATTTTTTTACCAATACACCCAAAGTCACATAATTCGCTGATGGGGTAGCCGCTCCCAAGCTCCGCACACGAATCAGCAAGTTGGGGGTGGATTTGGCCCAAATTCGCCAACTCAGAATTTTGAGTTCACGACTTCAGCTTCCCAATCCATGCATTGATTGCTTACAACAATGCAAATAATACTTATTTAGTAATAAAAAGACAAGTAGGAATGCATGTGAGAGGATTTGAACCAAAGGAGCTGTTAGGAAGAGCCAAAGTTACTGATCACTAGGCTAGCTTTTACGTGCATAAGTGATACAGTTAAAAAATATAACAACTTCATATAATTAATTAATAAAATCAATTATAAATAAACATCTTATTATTTTAAATAGTTCTTATATTAGAAAAAAATCATCAAAAAAATATTTAATAAAATAAAAATAATAATGTATTATGTGCAATCAGTAATGAAGTACATATATATAAATAATCGGAATCTCTTAACAGCGCACCTGCTCTGAAAAAAATTTAGACTATGATGCTCTCACGCTTTTGCTCCCACTCCGTTCCCGCTTTATGTGACTTAGATTACACCAAGCAATGGCCACCGCTAGATTTTCATATACGAAAGGGGATATTTTGCTTTTTCTTTATCATGGCAAATGAGATAATTATGTCTTATACTTGGTCAAGCCAAGAAAAAAAGGGGGAACTAAAATTAAAGTTTATTAAATAGGTCTGATTTGAGTGCAGGCTTACCCAAACTGTTGCGATCCACCTATATTAAACCAAATTGTAATTCATTCATGTTCCGGTTTGACCTTTTCTTGCCCTGACCCTTTCTGCCCCGACCGAAAACTGCTCAAATCCGTCCATTTTTCCAGGTCTCAAAGATAAGAAGTTTTTCCTATACCATTGTTGCATATCCTTGTGGAAGCATAGGTGGAAAGTCAAATAAGTGAATTTTGTGAAAGGATTTGTTAGGGTGGTGGAAGTGGCAGAGGTTGCCCTATTTCTGATTTGTTTTATGTGTGGACAGCACCATTTCAATGCATGAGATAGAAATAAATCAAGATACTTGAGGAGCATATCTTTACACTTCAAAACAATATCAACGCTTAAATAAGGTTGGCCAAGAGAAAAAAAATTTGCCAATGGTTATATTGGCGATGGCATTTTTTTCCCAAGTAAAATTTCATTCAATCGACCAAACAATACAACAATTAGATGTGAGAGAATACTCTCACCATAGAACAAAGGCTTGAATAAGCCCACTTCCAAAAGCAAGCAATTAGGAATAGCAAAGCTAGGAGTAATTTACAATCAAAGGGACAACTATACAATAAGCTTCAACCTCCAACAGAAAGCAGTATATTTCTTTCCCCTCAACACAGTACTCCAGTCAAGAATTCCATAGCAGTCCCAACATATGTGATCTCTCCCAGCCTGGAATCAACTCTGTTAATCCATCAACCCTATATTATACAATTTGGATTCCTAGACTAATCCAAATCCTCATTCCCATAATTTTTCCCTTTCCATCTCTGCTGTCTGCAGTTCCAATCATGCTCATTTGACTTCACTGTAAAACCACACTAGAGCTATAACCCACACCAGATATACATGAAGGTCAGAGTATGATGTTCTCTCACCATATTTAATGTCTTATGCATGAATGTCAAAGTATGAATTCCAACATATATAATGCCAATCTTTTCTAGGATGGATTTATCTGAATTGCATCCAAACTGACTAGAAGTTTATGTTTCAACCCCCCCCCCCCCCCCCCCCCCCCCCCCCCCCCCTCCTCCCCCTCTCTCAAAAAATTGTTTGCACCCAAAAGGACTCAAGCAAACATAACCTACAAACTGCTTATCGCAGACCCAAACAACATTCTCAAAGTCGCTATCCTAGATTTGACTATTACACTGAGCAATGTCCAGAAATCGAACACTTAAAAAGAAAAAGGAATCTCTCTTTTCGGTCAAAAAATTTCATGTCACGCACCTAACACTAGTTCACTAATTATAAATATCTCATCACTTTTTAAGTTTAATATGACCAACAATCCCATTCATTTCTTGGGGTTTTCGGGCATGTACATGGCATACCAAATTATTCATAGACTACACCAGAAGTTTTGCCAAATTATGGTGTAGTACAGAATAATATATAAGCCTTTGATGCTCTTACGGAGGTGACGATCTAGATTAGGAACAATGAGAAGCTTTCTTTAAAAAATGATGTTTAATGTGGAGGTCTTTAATAATAAACATTGTTTCAACTTGTTTACTCTGTTCTCTTTGAAGGAGGCTAAGGTGGGGAGTTGGTTGGTGATCAGGAGGAGACTTGCATTCAATGTTACTTCCAAACGGCCATGAATAATTGACGAGGAAGAGTAACTTCTTTCGGGCTCTCTCAAATGAGGTCATTAAAGAAGTTCAAAAATTCGTTGTGCAACTTCTTAGATGCTTTACCTGTAATGAACACATTTATACATTGGACTTTTCCTTCTCCTCACTGTAATAAACTGCTCTATTTGGACTCATTTTATTACCCCAGTGAGTAAACATGTCAACAGGACAATATATAAAAACCTGTAGAAGAGAGGTGTGGATAGAGAAGAAGATGGAAGGAGAAAAGGGAAGGAAAGAATTGTAGGTATCTTTGATGCTTTTCCAATAGATAGTACATTGACAGAGATGAAAGTTCAAAATGGCTCTATGATTGAATGATTTCAAATATGAGTTGATATCGCCTTGTTGACCATGCCACATAATGAGCAAGTAGTCGGCCGGAGAAGGAAGAGATGATCCGAGGTTGATTTAGCGCCTAAGGTTTCCATTAGTTCGATCTAAGAACCATGATTTTGATATAACTAAACCTATTTTTTCAAGGTTGCATAAAAACTCCTATACTTCTTATATTTTAATGACTAAATTAAAAAACCTCGCCATTTTTTCCTAGTTGTAACAAGAAACTAAATGAACTATGGAGTTGTACAATTTCAAACTGAGATAGAAACATTGCACATTTTTCCTTCTTCCTAGTTTCTTCTTTCACAAGTACTTATACCCAATTTTTGGACACCTCAACCTTTCAACAATGTTCTTATATTTACCTTTTGAAGGTTACAAGGATCAGACATTTAGAAATGCACCCGAATTCAGCACAAATAGCTAGGTCCAGGTAACATGTGAAATAACCAGTCTATTTATCAAACAAAATTACAAGAATTGGAGAAACAACTAATCTAGGACACAACTTGATGCTTGCAAGCACTACTACCAATCATGTAATGAGTTGAACCAAAACTAACTATGAACTCATGTTTAAAGAGTGACTAATCTCCTAAACTTAAGAGGGCTTAGCGATAGCCTGTATAAGAATTAATAAAAGAATGACTACGTCCATATACTTCCTAGACGATATCAAAAAAAAGGCAAGATAATGATTTGAATCCAAAGGTCAATCATTCCTAGCTCAGATACGATTTTTTCTTTTCCTGTTAGGGGTATGTGTGTGTATAACTAAATAACAATGGCTGGAACCTACCTCAATCTATGATTCTATCACCAAAAAGAGTAAAAGGCCCAAAGCCACAATAACATAAGCTCAATGAGAAGGCTTAATTAAGAAAAGACTCTTGCCAAAGAAGTTTATAAACAACTGGACAAGAAATTTTTAAGAAAAAGAAAGGTTTTAATTACGCCAGATAATCAAAGTATATATGCAAGTTGGCTTCTTGCTTCTTGTTTCATGTGATCAATGAAGTGCAAAGTTTCAGAAGAAAAACTGGAAAGAGGGAAAAACACAACTTGCAAACGGGTAAAAGCGCAGATTCTTTATGCCACATTCTTTCTTACCAAAAACGCCCTACACGTTTTCCTCCTGACTTGCTACTGACTGATACATGTGCGTTTCAGATGAAACACCCAGCGCTGGTGTATACAAAACGATTCTACTTATCATATATTTTGTGTACAGAAGTGCAGATCCAGGACACCACAAAAGAGGAATACCAAGGAGATGTGAAATTCTCAGCAACCAGACAAGAAATCCAAAAGAACCTTAAGAGTTTGTTTGATTTCCACACGAGTACAACAGAAACAATAGTGGCAAACTATCATGGACACACACAAAATATATAGAAGAGTAGGTCAAACTCAATAATGGTTCCAAACAAGATAAACATACAATCAGAAGCTCATCAATTAATCCATTAGCTGAAACAATATCAGATATACAAGGATGGCCAAGATTACCTAAATCAAAAGATATTATGTCTGCAAACAGAATTTCACTGAAACAAAAAACAAATAAATAAAAGAATTATGAGAGGCAAATAAAAATATAGTCACAAGACAATTAAAGCATGAAAGCATAGATATCTAGATAATTACAGTAGAAAATTAAAATGAAACTGCATTGAAAGATAATGATCAGTACCAATCTTGTATGTTACTGGATTCAGTGCAGAGTCAACTGGATTCAGTGCAGAGTCAACTATCCCCTGCAATAAAAGAACAAACTTTCCTTAAATCACACCCTTGCATTTCGTCAGAGTAATATTGCAAACATAGTTTTAAACAAAATAAATAAATAAACCCCTAATAATATTATACTTTATAATGCCTAAACATAGATTGCACGCAAACCATTTATATTTATATATGGGTACACACACCCGAATCAAAATAGCCAAAAATTCAACCAAAAGCTACCTATTTAAATAGGTTACAAAGAAAATATGCTTCAAATGCAATTAAATCCGTACTAGCATTTCATGATCTTCAAAGAAGCCATACCTAAATCAATATAGAAATCAAGAAACTAATTTGAAACGAAATAAAGATGTCTAAAAATTCAAAAATAAAAAAAGATTTCGGATCAAAAATCATGATAACATGATTGTAACGAGGAACAAAAAGTTCCGATACACTCTGGCGCAAACTAACAAATCAAACAAGATTTTGCATATACACATGCATATATACATATAAAGATATATAGAGAGAGAGACGAGGGTTATACTCTTACGAGAAGAGAGCGAATAAGCGAGTGTTGTAGAGGGCAATCGTGCGGCTCTGTGAAACCGTGAGTGGGGGAGTAAACGGTTGCGAAGAGGAAGAGAATGTCGTGGTTTATATGGCCGCAATTGGGTAGAGAGCGATCTGTATTGAATCCAAAGATCAATCCAATTCCATTGAGAAAATTGCAAATCAATGAACATAGGGACCCCAATTCACAAATATATGGAGTAAGCATTAAAGTCAACCCTCCAACTAAATGAAAAAATGAAATTTATTTAGAGACGTAAAGTAACAGTTTATCAATGCTTGAGAACCAAATTGTCAGGCAGCAAGTAGTTCGAAGAATCTATGCTTGGAAATCAATCATTGCATACCTTGATGTGGATTATTAATTTAAAATTTTACTAATGCCATGGGCAGAAATTTGAATAAACTTATACAGAGTATTTCTTTAAGATAAATTACAGAGACACTCATTTGTTTAAAGATAGATAAATACAATTTAGGCCATTTTTAGATAATAACTCCCCTTAGGTTTGTTAAACCAAACAAAGATACCCCTTGTCAGAATTTAATTCCAAACAAGGCCATAAAATGCTTGAAAAGATAAAATTACCCACCAATATTTAATTGGTTTTAATGGTAAAATATCATAATTCAGAAGTAATGTTTTTGTCCTTCAATCTATATCAAGATTGTATCATGTCCTCCAGTTTTTCTCTCTCTAACTTCTACAAACTCATATTCTTAGGCGACGACTTGACCCGTGAAGTCGACATTGAAGGCGAGGGAGGATTGCGCCAGTGATGCGGCAGCCTTTATTTCCACTGCCGATTGTCAACGGCACAGAAGAACAAGTAAAGTGATGAGAGAGAATAAAAATGGAGGCTTCTCAAGGAAAGAGCCTGGTTTTGATCCACCTTCATCTGGGTTTAGTGAACTTTTCAGATTTTCAGATGGGTTGGACTATGTTTTTTATTGCAATTAGGTCAATTGGTGCCTTTATCCATGGTTGTTCTTTGCCTCTGTTTATGAGATTTTTCGTCATGCTTGTTAATTCTTTCATTTCCAATGCCAACAATGTTGATATAAACATATATATGGAATATGGTCCGATGGCCGCCATCATATATAAAGATAGTATTGTATCCAATAATATTATAATTTATAAAGATAGTATTGTAATTCAAAACTTATAAAATTTAAGATAGTATTTAATTGAAAAATCTATAACAGTGCACTTGTATTCTATTGTTCTCTTTGTCATCTTCCTTCTTATTTTCTTTCCACAACCTTCTTACTGATTACAACACAACACGATAAAAGTTTCAAAATTTACAATTTGAGTATTATTTTATGTTTATATATCTAAATATACAATTATTTAAAGTGAACAATATCTAATAATTTATTCTTTTACATTTTATTCCTTTCACATGCATTGCTTTTGTTATTGTTTTCTGTAACGACCCGGATTTCTCAACCTGGTGCGTTACTGATGAACCGGAAGTTGACCCGATAACGAACTCAAAATGCGGAAGTGAAAGAAGCCAAATGACCTCAAGAGATGTACGTCATCTCTAAGGCCCCAAAATGACTCTCCATGAAGCCACGGAGCTTAAATGAGCTAAGCAAATGAAGCAAGAATGCCTAACTCGAAAAGAGATGAACTAAAGGCAAAATGATCATTTCTCACTGAAAGGGTGCCACCGTGCACACCATTGGAAGGACAACGAAAAATGAACAAAATTAGACTCAAGAATCGTCTGATTCTGAGTCCGAGCAGAAAAGATATGAAATTCCAACACCCGATGCGAAAGTTATGAAGTAATGACTTAACATTTTCCAATATTTTCATAATAAACTTTGAAAACAAAAGTGCATAGAAAATGATATACATGTCATTGGCTTCCGGCCTCATCTCATACATGTTAAATACATTGAAAAAAGTGCACTTACGTACACTTTACATATACGAATTAACGAATACAAGTTTAAACAAATAGGGCTACAAAGAGGCATCTTATGCTAACACTTGCATAAAATAGAAACTTAGAAACTGTAAGCAATCTAAGGAGCAATGGAATCTTCAAATCCTAAGTCCTGTACCTGAAATACGCCCCAGTATTGTAGGGGTGAGTAACATAAAGTTACTCATAGGAGATGAGCATGCATCGACCTAGCATTTTACAATTTTATCACCTTATGGTGAAACATGTTAAAGGGACTCATGCCACCTAACGTCTATGTCAAGATGAGACCCAGGGAACATCCTAAGCTACCTAGATCATTTCTATTATAATCACATTGTTCATGCAATTCAAACAACATGAAAATATGTTATACAAGGCAACAATATATAGATTCTCAAAGTCTTCAACTTGAAATCCAAAATACGAAAACAACAAATGTGGGTCATGCCACCTAACGTCTATGTTCAAAATGAATCTATAAGGTTATTCCTAAACTACATTTGAAAATCAAAACACAAATTATGATATCGATGCAATTTAACCAACAATGGAACTTCCAATTCAATAAGGAAAAACATATTATCATGAATATAAAAGTAACAAATATGTTATGCAATGCTTAAAAGTAATCAAGTGAACATAAATCAAATCCAAATCCATGATTTAAATATAGAAATAACTTCCAAAATGCAATTAAATCCATAGAGTAATAAAGTAGAATTTAATTAAACATAAATAATTAAATTCTCTAAATTCCAAGTTAATCCAAATAACCTCAATTTAATATATATTGAAAAACATGTCATGGTTATCATATATATAATATCAAATGACAAGTTAAGTGATTAAAACACTTAAAACAAAATTAATCAAGCTAATTAATTAATTTTCTCTATATTTTTAAACAATTCCAAATGCCCTCAATTTAATCTATGTTAGAGAACATGCCAAGGCCTATTTAATTACCACATTACAACTTGATTTAATGCTTGATACAACCATGCGAATTAAACTTTCACTAAAGATAAATATTAAACAAAAGTTGTAATTCTTAATCAAATGATCCAAATTTAATATATGTTAACCAACATATCTAAGTATAATTTCCTAACATGTTACAATTCAAATCAAAGTTATACATCATCATAAATTTTAAATCTTATACAAAAAAATAAAAATTACTAACTTTCTAGATTTGATACAAGGCATACATATATGTTGTATAATCATGGCAAACACACAATACAACACACAAATAATCCTAAAACATTCCCTACCTCAATTGGAATGAAAATCCCAATTACCACCGAAATAAAATCGCCCAAAATTTTCGATCTGCAGAACAGATTTTTCAGCTTGCTACCTTCAACTTGTAAAATTCATAAAAAAATCAATTCTAACCTAAATTGAATGAATCCAAAGCCCAATGAAAGCTTAAACACTGTAATTTGATAATATCAATTTACTTTAACAAAATATTTTCCCAATTGAAACAGTTTTGAACCACAATTTTGAAACAAATTCTGCCTAGAAAACACATTTTCAGCCTGTAGCTTCCAACTTTGAAAATTCATGAAAAATCCATTTGACATCCAAATTGGGCAAACCTAATTTATTTTGGAAGTAAACATATGAGAGTGTAAAACTGTAAATTTAAGCCATGATCCAATGTCAAAAGGATAGTGAAATAAATCATTTAAAAATATGTTTTCCAGCTGCAATAAAAACATGGACAGCAGATAGTTTCAGATTTTTTAAAAAATTTAGAAATGCTCTAAAATAGTGAAAAAATTCTGAGTAGTGTAAAACCCATGGAGGAAGTTTCAGTAAAAATTTCAAGGTAATTGAAGTATCATAACTCCATATAAAAATTCATTTCCGGACCAAAAAGGAAAAGCTTCAAATTTCCAGCAACTAGCTTGCAACTTCAAAAATTCATAACTAATTCATTTTAAATCCAAATTACATGAAACCAAAACTAAATGAAAGCTAATTGAGTATATTTTCATATTCTATATTTAATTTAATAAGATTAATTTTAAGTTAAAACAGTTTAAGGGCAAAATACAAGTCCTTCTCTTCCATGCATGTAAAACACTCAATAATGACATAAAAATACTTCAAAATAATAGATTAATACCTCACTAGAGAATTGAATCTCTAGATACCAAAGCAAAACTAGGAGTTAGGGTAGATCCTTCAAGGGTTTTAAAGAGGAGGATGAGGGGAACAAAAAGTATTCCAAGCTTTATGGTCTAAAGTAAGTGGAAGGGCCTCAAAGATTAAGGTCAATGCCTAAGGCTTCAAGCTCCATCCATGGAGGCTAGGGTTTTCTTGTAAGGAAGAGAATGAAATAATGTGGTTAAGTGTGAGTGGAGGAAATAGAAATCCTCCACTCACTATGTGCTCTTACACCATGGTCAACACACACATCTATGGTCAACCATAATCCCAAAGTGGCCCAAAAATATTTGCAGGACTAAATTGTGAACCTACACTTGTCACCAATTCATGACTCCTTCCTAGGCTTAATCCCACACCTACACTTGTCAACCATCCAAGCCAACAAGTGCACCAATCCTAGGCCAACAAGTGGGTGAATCCTCACCCTCTAAATGTCATCATCCAATGCATTAAAGTGTTTCCACACAAATGTCAATAAGTGAACCAATGAGAGTGTGACACTTGTCACACTTTTTCAAAAATTACAAAAAGGTCCTTTTTGAAAATATCTTCCAAATTTAATTGCAAAATGGTCGCCAAGATGAAAAATAATTACTTTATTTAATTACACTAAAACCCCACAAGTTAAGAATAATTACACTAAAGTATGCATTAATGCCCTTTTATGAAAGAAGTAAGCAATCAACATACTTTTCTAGAAAAGTAAAAATACCACTATCATGAAAGTCAAATATTATGAATGCATGCAAAACCGGAATCAAATCCGAACACAAAAAGTGAGGTTGTGTAAGGAAAAAGGATAAACGAGAAAAAGACAAAATGTGAATAGTGTTCAGAAAAATAAAATATGAAAATGACACAATCCCGAAAGGAAGTTGTCAATCCAAGGAAAAGAGTCTCGGAAATCATTCCAGAGCACTCGAGACAACATCAAGTGATGAAAAACCGAACCCAAAAAAGAAAAGACAACGGAAAAAAAATATCTGTTAAAATCTGAGAAAAAGAAAAGGAAGAAAAATGACCAGGTCATTACAACCTTCTCACTTTAAAGGGATTTCGTCCCCGAAATCTAGCCCTAACAAAACAAAAAGGCGAAACCAGGATAACTACGGAGTATATCTCTGAGTATCCCTCACAACATGTTACGAAAGTAATCCCAAAACTGAAGACA